AACAACATGTTTATAAACTGTAACAAAAACAACATGTTCATAAACTGTAACAAGAACAACATGTTCATAAACTGTAACAAAAATAACATGCATGTTCATACCTGTAACAAAAATAACATGCATGTTCATAAACTGTAACAAATAACATGTTCATAAACTATAAAAAAACAACAGGTTCATAAATTGTAACAAAAACAACATGTTCATAAATCGTATTTTTTCGGAATTTAACCGATTCACAACGGTACTCTTAAAAGTTTTGTCTGATGAAGTATACATTATGAATTATTTTCAATTGTATTTTCTCTACATAGTGACTTAAGCATTTCTACTCCAGGAAAACTAGAAATCTCGCGTACAGTCCCTTTAACTGAGATTTTTCACAAATTTACCTGACATTAGTTTACTCATCTCAGCTTTCAGAGTCTGAATACTATCATCCATTGCTCGTATACCTTTACAAGTACAGTTAAAATCAGAAAACTCTGGAATGGAAACTCAACATCTAAACTCAATTTATGACTTTATATAGTCTAATGAACATGAGACACAGTTATTGTGCAGTGTAAACAGACCCATTTGACTAAATAAGTGATTTACCGACTTACTTGTAAATCTATTTGCTTTTTAACCGCATCAAATGCACTTCAGAATTGTCGTCTTCCTATTCCACAGTTTTCTGGTTATCATTGTAACATGATAGAATACAATGCTAATACCAATCAAAGGATTTTAACATCAATTGATGTCTAGAAACCAAGATAAATATAAAAGTCCCAACTCCACAGAACAGGTAGTGTAGAACCAGCACTGACAAGGACCACCCTGCCTGAGTGGCTTGAAAGGGATTTACTAAACAAAGATAAATATAAAAGTGTCAACTCAACCTCAGTATGTCATAACCACAGAACAGGTAGTGTAGAACCAGCACTGACAAGGACCACCCTGCCTGAGTGACTCGAAAGGGATTTACTAACCATACAACTGCATATAAGTGTATATTTCTGAGTAATCAATCAATCAACCTGTAATAATTGATGGGGTAATTGTATATGTTGTACACATTATTGTCTGCACAAAAGCTCTCCACATTGGGTCCAGTGGTGCCAGGGAGGGAGCGGGGCTAGAATTTAGTCTTGGTAATTATAAAAAACAAATATTTTCTTTATTTAAGCCCATTGTGCATTTTTCCATAAACGCTGCAGCATTGAGCACTCTCAAAGGACAGGTACCGGCTTGTCAGATGCCGGTCACTATAGTTTCAGTAGAAGTAAACATATCCATTTACTGTTATAGCGCCAATATAAGGATTTATCTCTAATTGGATGATGAGATAGATAGAAAGATAGATGTTACCGCCATGGAATTTCTATTGGTTCAGAATAGACACCAAACACATGATTGGATCAGGCGCTACTAGAGTGCGGTACGCGTCAGTGCTGGTTCTATACTACCTGTTCTGTGTTTTAACCAGTAAAAAGGCAGTTTTATATCTTATACGGCCACATCAATATGTAAATAAATTTCCCTTCTAATATATGATTATTTACTAATGCTTAAAGTCCAGCCAGAACAAAAAAGTTGTAAGCCAGGGACCGAATTTAACAAATTTGAGCTAGATCGCTGAACTAAATATCTACTGTCGATTCAACTACGTATCTGTAGCGTTGCAATGGAATTATCAACTATTGGACAATGAAAAATGAAAAATCCTGAATCACCAATTCAAGATATATGTTTGAACTGTCTCTGAACCTGGCTCAAATTCATTAAATTCGGCCCCAAAACAAGAAATGGTTAACCAGGACAATGAAATTGATCCAAGATTTGAAACTCATGATGTTTGTTTTAGTTGGATTAGAACTTAGCACTAACCTTGTAAAAGATCACTAACCTTGTGAAAGATCTTCTCTAGTTTCACTCATGAGGATACTAACCTTGTAAAAGATCCTCTCTAGTTTCACTCATGAGGATATTAACCTTGTGAAAGATCTTCTCTAGTTTCACTCATGAGGATATTAACCTTGTAACAGATCCTCCCTTGTTTCACTCATAAGGTTCTCTGTCTCACTCTTCTCTGACACTGGAGTCCTAGACTGCTCTTTCCTTTCTCTCTCAACCCTGAAAGGTAAAAAATTTCAAATGTTTTAATTAAACTTACTCATCGCGTAGCACCAGTTAGATGAGAGGGTGTGCGTTCTTACCAATGCTATGCAGAATAGCGCCAGAGCCTCATAGATCTTTATTGAGAAGTTCAATGCTATTCTGCATAGCGTACTGGTGAATATTCAAAACAGTGCAGCAAAAAATTGAAATAGTATTTTATGATTCACAGCCACAAGCATCTGTATTGTTCAAGATGATAATAGAATAGTGAAAAGTAAAAAGTTTCAAACATTTATTTTGCGTATACACAATTTTACTTTATTTAAACAAAATTGTACATGGCAATTTGTGTGTTATTATCCTTGGGGTTCCTAAATTTTCCCAGAAATCCTTATCTCATTGCTTGATTTGATCTCTCGAATATCATGATAAAACTAAACACATTGCTGTTGTTGAAGTTGATTCTACCTCAGAAAATCCTGGTCTGCTGCTAGTCTTGGGACAGGAACTAAATCATAATCCTGGTCTGCTGCTAGTCTCGGGACAGGAACTAAATCATAATCTCCTCCTGCTCCTTTCTCTTTCTTTTCTCCTTTTTCCTAGAGTCAAATTTAATGAATTCTTCAACTCATTATTAAGTGCTCAAATCCTAAATCCCAGCTTCAAAGTTCAAAACTTTGAACAACCCTAATGCACCGTCTGCTAAAGCAAACAAATTCGCTGACAATTCCAACCAATCAGAGCACCGCAAATATCATGTTCAACAGTCTATTGGCTGAAACTAAACTAGACTCTTATTCATTGGATAGTTCAAAATCTAAAAACTTTATATGTATGTAGTTCAACCACTTTCGCAATTCATTAAATTTGGTCCCTGTTGTGTCTTAATACCATCATCAACATCATCATCATCAGATTTGTAAGAGATAGCACTGAACATCTTTTCCTGGGAAAATGGCTTTAATCATGTTGGTGATCATTTATAATTAAGCCAAGTATATTGCCATTCAAAAGCCCTGTGATTTAAAAAGAATAAAGTAGTATAAATATTTAACAATGTTAAATTTTTTTTAATAAAATTTGCTTGCACCTTTTCCTGCATAAATGAAGCATCACTGACTAATGTTGCACTACTGTCCACACTAAAAAAATAATAGATATAAAAAGTATTATGATTTATTTAATTTTTTTGAATGCAGTTGAAAAAAAAACCTACCTAACTCTGTTGTTAGGCCCAATGTCATCAGTTCTAAAAGTAAACACAGTTAAAAGAATTAACTTGTTATAAGAAATTAGATCTTAAACAAGTGTAATATAATATAATATACAGGTATCATGTCCTGTTCAAAATGGTACACTGTAAAAAATTAAAAATTTAACATTCGCAAAATTTTTATTTTTTTTTAATATGTGAGGGACTATTGGAGGGGGGGGGTTCAAATAAAAAAATTTACAAAATAATCTAAGTCATCAAGTCATACCTGATTGAGATATTCGAAATAACGCTGTGAAACTGACTTCCAGAGTTCAAACTAGAATGTTTTTGAGGTAACGTCGAAAACTTTTAATAATAATTTCTTTTTAATTTAAAAATTTAAAAAATTACCTTGCAGCAGAAAACCGTGTAGAGCGTCTCAACTTACTACTGCCCATTGGCTGTATAAAGTAAATAATTTTTAGCTAAGACTCAGAATGCAGAATTGAATGAATTTGCGGATTTTTTTTATATTTGCGGATTTTCAAATGCTGAAATCCAAGAATAAACAATAAGAAGATTTAAAAAGGACAAAAAAAACAAATTAAAAAGGATTTCCAATTACAACTTGAAGAATAAAGTGAATCATTAATGTTCGCTTTTAAGTTCCCAAGCTATAATTTTCGAACAATTTTTCAAAAATTTTGTTATAACCATTTCTAGAGTTTATGAGAATCAGGCCGTAATTTCAAGCAATCGTCCGTTTATAGAGTGCATGTCCCTTTTACAACGGAATCCTTTAAACATTTTCCTGTGTAACGATGAGGAAGATATTTTAGTTTTCTTTCATAAAATTGTTATTTTCTAGGGTTTCCAACGTAATAGATTATTCTCTTACGCGTAATTATGTGCAGTTACGCGTAATAATTTTCATTTTTTGTAATTTTGCAGGATTACATTGGGGAAATATCCATTACGCATAATTACAGACTAATTTCGCGTAATTTCTACAATGTAATTTCGCGAATTTCGTAATGATTAATAGTAATAAGCAAAACTATAATTATGCCGTAATTACGGCGTAATTTTGCATAATTTCTACAACGTAATTTCGCAAAATTTCGTAATAATTATGTGTAATAAGCGAAACTATAATTTCGCGTAATTTCTACGAGGTAATTTCGCGAAATTTTGTATTAATTATGCGTAATTAGCGAAACTTCAATTTCGCGAAATTATGCCGTAATTTTGCGAAATTTTGCAATAATTACATCTATGAAATTTTGAAGTGTTAACTTTTAATTCAGATAAAACAAATGATTAATAGTAATAAGCAAAACTATAATTATGCCGTAATTACGGCGTAATTTTGCATAATTTCTACAGCGTAATTTCGCAAAATTTCGTAATGATTATGTGTAATAAGCGAAACTATAATTTCGCGTAATTTCTATGAGGTAATTTCGCGAAATTTTGTATTAATTATGCATAATTAGCGAAACTTCAATTTCGCGAAATTACGCCGTAATTTTGCGAAATTTTGCAATAATTACATCTATGAAATTTTGAAGTGTTAACTTTTAATTCAAATAAAACAACTAACTTACAAGGAAAATAATGTCACGCAAGTTGAACAGAAATTTCAGCCAATACTATGTTGATGTAATTTTCACGTTCGACAACTAAAAAGTTTAACAAAGGGCCAACAATTTATTTTTTTCAAAAGAATACGTAATCTATAAATTTTCAATTTTCGACGACTTGTTAATATTTCAACCTACTTTCTCAAGTTTACCTTCCTTGTTTGAAAAAAAGCCCATAAAATCGTCAGAATATGTTTGACATGGTTGTAGCAGGCATATTCAATTTTGAGACAAATAAAAAAACAAAACATTTCTTATATCTTTGATCCGTCAAAGGTTTAAATAATACTGTTTTGATCAAATCAAGCTAATTGTAAAAATTTATTCATCAAATGTGAAATTTTAAAGTGACGCAACGCCTTCAGCTTTTGTTTAATCTCACCAACTAATTTTACGTTTTTGTAGTCCTTGACATATTAAAAATGCAACACGCCTTTTTCTAACCTAAGATTGAAAGGAGTAATACTGCAAGGGCGTATACAGAAATAAATGTAGGGGGGGGCAAGATTTGCGCGAAGCGCAAAAAAATTTTTTTGCCCCCCCCTAGGAGNGAGTAATAGGCAAACAACTGATTGATTTTTGCGTGAGAACATCTTTCGCTGTGGGCATGTGCACCTCTTCAAATGGAAGGTCACTTGAAATTATAACGATGTACAGTCACTTGTTAGGAATTAAAAGATTCCGAAGATGGCGGCTGTCACCTGAGGAACAGCTGGTTGATGATCGCCAAACCGGTTTCTATCAGCTGACAGCTGACGCCCCGGCTGAGACCGAAGTTTTACGGAATCCTGTGAAATTTGGGGTTTAATACAAATTTGAATTAATTTAGAAAAGGTTTACCAGATCAGGGGCTCCAGGCATTTTTACAACAGGAACCTAGGTTTATATTAATTATATCAAATCATGTACTTTTAAATTAAAAAGTTTTTTGTAAACATGAAATCTTATCAACCCATAAAACGATGCTATATCGTTTGGACTAATGACCGATTGAACTAACGTACTTTTGCACTAAAGTCAGCTGATCAGTAACCGGTTTTTAGTACACTCTAACATTAGTGCAAATAAAAAAAAATCTGGTTTTCTGTGTTCAATTGGACTAAAATTTTATTTTCCCGCCAGAAATATTTCATTTTCGCGCCAGGAATATTTTAGTACAAATGATCATATATTAGTGCGATTGAACGTTAGTGCAAATGAACATGTCCAAAAAGAAGTGTTCAAATGGACTAATTTTTCTTTTCTGTAAATATTATTGCAATTGAACGTTAGTGCAAATGAACATGTCCAAAAAAAAGAAATTAAACGGACTAATTTTTTTTTCTGAAAATATAAGTGCAATTGAATGTTAGTGCAAATGAACATCTCCAACAAAGAATTTGTTCAAACGGACTAATTTTTTTTCTAAAAATATTAGTGCAATTGAACGTTAGTGCAAATGAACATGTCCCAAAAAAAATTTTTTCAAATGGACTAATTTTTTTTCTGGAAATATTAGTGCAATTATATTGGTAATTTAAGAGAAAATGGTGAAATTTTAGATTTTAGTTCGATTGAACATATTTTTGTTCATTTGTACTAAAATATGTTCATTTGTACTAATAATATTTATGGGCAAATGGTGAAATTTTAGATTTTAGTTCGATTGAACATATTTTTGTTCATTTGCACTAAAATATGTTCATTTGTACTAATTAATATTTTATGGGCAAGGTAAATTTTTAGATTTTAGTTCGATTGAACATTTTTTTGTTCATTTGCACTAAATATGTTCATTAGTACTATAACATCGATTTTACCGGAACTTTTAGCTTTAGTTCAATCAAACATTTTTTGTTCATTCCCGCTACAATGTTCAATGGAACTAATTAATCAAATGAACCGAATTCCGCTAGAATTTTGATAAATAGTTCTCCACGTGCTCGAAAAACCTTCCACGTGGTTTTAGTTTGATTTAACAATTAGTTGTTCAGTCGCACTAAACGTTAGTCCGAATGAACGTTGGTGCGAATGTACGTTAGTCCGATCAATCATTAGTGCAAACGATACGACACCCATAAAACACTGTGGATTAGGAAGACGACTATAAGACTCCAATTATTAGTGTTAATAATCCAATGAACTTGAAATACATCAATTATTAATTGTACACATAGACACATATCACATAATACGTAGATTTCAAGCTGTTGGTAATGGTAAAACTATTTGCGTCATAACAATAAAAAGCTACAAATAAAATTGCTTAAAATGTGTTTTCCTACTCCAAAATAGTATGAGTCCCACTGCCTAAGAGAGTTAGAGGATTTTGTTGATAATTCTTTAAATGAAAAAGTTAACTATGTGATTGTGAATGAGCTCTAAAAGATAAGTGTATTGATATTATGCTATCGCTAAATCTGGCAATGTCTTTACAGATTGATAATGCAAAATAAATTCACTGTTCTATTTTAAAATGTTGTTAAGGATGTGACCGGCTATTGGAAATATCAAAGGTTTACACATCAGGTTGCAAAGATATAGGTATTAAAAAATTTGGGTTTGTCGCAAAGATTCAAATCCTTTACTTTGTTTCAGTAAAACAAAGATTTTTATCTCATTTGCTTATGGCTTATGCTAAAATCTAAATAGAATTTGAATGGCCATGCAAATTCATTAAAAACGGAAGAAAAAACTTTCTTTTTTAGAAAAAGAGGGCAAAGGGTTGATAAACTTTATCTGCAGTGATACTCATTTACCAATTTAATTAGACATAAATTAATTACAAAGTTCATGCCACAAACTCAAATGTCCTACCCTCAAATATTTGCAACCTGAGGGATTAAACCTTCGATATGAAAACTTAGACTATGTGATCTAACGGAATTCATTGTTTGAAATATCAAAGATCCACTGTGGTTATCGCAAAGATATTAAGCTTCAGAGTTTGTTGCAAAAAAATGTATGAAAAAATACGAGCAGGGTTTTGAATTTATGAATAAATAAAATTCGCATAAACCTCTGGAGAACTGGAGTAACATCAGGAGTGCTCACTTCTTCAATGACGTCTTCAGGGTTAGATAATCCTACACGACTCTCTCGGCTTAAATCTCTTAAACAAAATGATGTAAAACATTATGGATGATTTAACCTATAAACAGACTTTTTAGCTTTACAAAAACACTCCTGTATGCCGAGTCCATTATCGCCTGATCCAATCAGGGTTAAGTCATGGCGTTAACGTCTATCTTTCTATTTATCTCATTATCCAATTAGAGTTATGAATCCTTCAATCGGCGCTAACAGTAAATGGAAATATTTACTTCTACTGAAACTATTGTGAAAAACCAAAACATTTTTAAGTATATGCACATTGCACATGTCCATTTATTCTTGTCGATTATGATATAAAAGAAAATCTATTTTGTAAAATGGGGACCATGGGTAAAAAGGTTACTATTATGAATTGGGAAATGGAGGGTCGCTTACAATTCTGCAAACAGTCCCTTTAAGCGTATAGTTCTAAAGGTACCTTTGTTTTCTTCTGACAGGTCGTCTAGGGGTTAAGGATGGCTGTGGAGTCCAAACAGAATCAGTATTAGATCCTCTAAACAAGAGTTTTCATTCTTTTTCTGATTTTAGAATCTAAAAAATAAGGAACCGAGAGTTGTTCCTTCTAACTCAAATTTCCTGATCACTATTCTATATCTTTGGACCCTGATTGTGTAAACCTTTCATATTTCCAACTTCGACTATTTAATGTAACATAATTTACAATATATGAGGTTAAAAACAGAGTTTGTGGCAAGAACTCAGTTCCTTCAAAAGCCTCCTGACTAGGAGAACTACGGAGACTTTTAAAATAAATCTCAAATCTAACTCTAAACATCTTATTAAAGAGTTGTTAAAAAGAGTAAATTTTAAATATTATGTAAACATGATCTTTAACCCTATTCCTGTAGTTTTTTTTACATAACTCAAAAAGTATTGATTTGAGGCTGTTGATATTTTCTGACTTTTCCTAAATACCCTCCCTTGAGGTCTAAAACCGGGCTTTGTACTAACTGCCTGAGTCCACAGGCACACTGCCTGAATGACTACCTTTTCCTGTAACAAACTAAATCTTTGTTTTGACCCACTTTCAGTTGTCAGATTTTGATAATTTTTAACTTTTTGGAAATGGATTACACAAGTTTTGTAAAGAAATTTTCGCAAATTATTTGCATACAACCCGTCAAAAGAAATTTGCATATTTTTAGTTTTTCTTAATTACACATCAGGTTATTTAAAATTTTGCAAACATTTTTGCATATTTGAATTGGCATGGTAAATGGCTTTTCAAAAATTTATATTTATTAATTTTTTGACATTTTGCAAACATTTTTACTTTTTAACTGGATTTTCCCCCAAAAATTTTTTTGCAAATTTGTAATTTTTTTGCAGATTCTAAAAGTAGAGCATGATAGNGACATCAAACATGGAATTTAGAAGGGGGGATCGAATTGACGCCCCCCCCCAGTGTATACTTGTTTTCAAGTACCCCAACAGGGATAGGGTTAAAAAGATTGACGGTAAAATTTCGGCCACATCACTGGTAAGACTTTCTAACTTTGTAGCTCCTCTAATAAATAGAAAAGATGAGAATGTAACTTGAAATTATGCTTACATGTTGCAAGTAATAAATATCATAGTAAACCCTATATCTGTAAACCTAAACATGCCTGTATTTATATATATTAAGTTGTACATTGTCTGTAATCCAACTATGCTCATTATTAATTATCTACATTTGTAAATATCTATGTAAAACTTGTAATCACGATTTAACTTAACTTTAATTATAGAACCCAAAATACACATTAGTTGGAATAATACAGATAGAGTTGTATCTGGATTGATATTGACTAAGGAATTATTGAGGAACCTTGAGTTCAAGATTGAGTTGTATCTTGTAAGACAGATAACTGAGAATACAGATAGAGTTGTATCCGGATTGATATTGACTAAGGTATTAATGAGGAACCTTGAGTTCGAGATTGAGTTGTATCTTGCAAAACAGATACCTGAGAATACGAAAGGTGATCCCTGGATTGGTGCGGATCTGAAACTATTTATTGGAGTAGGGCATTTATTACATACAATTACTTTAAAACCCCTAATGTGTTTGCTGATTGTGTACTATGCTCCGTAAAGTACCCGTAAATTTTAGCAAAAACAACAACAACAATTAACAATTTAGTCGGCGAGCTCCAAGTACTTTCTAGAAAGAATAAATAAACCTGGAATTTACCGGAAATGTTTTACCATCCTCTTCACATTTACATAATGTTTATTTCCAATCTCAGAATGTGAACAAGTAGAAGCCATAAAGGTAAAAGGTAGGGATGGGCAGTTTAGACATTTATTAAAAATGTTTGTTTCATTTTGTTGACATTGAAAAAAATCTGAAATCGGAGTGATCGTTATGAAAAAATCATTTTTAAAAGGGATCAACCCAATTTATGATAGTAAAAACGAAGAAAAACGAAACGATCGTTTTCTAAAACAATAGTTTTTAAAATGATCGTTTACAAAAATAGAAAAACGATAGTTTTGGAATCAAAACATTTTTTTTGAAATGAAAACAATTGTTTTGGAATGAAAACAATAGTATTTAAACCGATCGTTTTGGAATAAAAACGACAAATATTGGATGTTTTAATGAAAAATAAAAATTTGAATCTACAAACCTTGCTTCGACCGAGAAACTAAAAACGATCGTTTTCAGATCGTTTATGAAAATGATACCCATCTCTACTTATAGGGAAGGGAAGGGGGAAGATTATATCTATGCTCCTCAAATAAATTTTTCCAAGGATAGGACAATGGGAACTGGGCAATAATAAGGCCCCCT